CATCCCTGTGTCATTACAACTGCCTCATTTAAAGGGCAGTTTTGACCAGAATGACACATTTGTGAGTCACACAATGGGGAACAGGTTGTGACTTTGCTCAGAGATCTACCTTGCTTTGGCTTCCTGTCAGCACAGCTGAAAGACCAATACTTGTCACGGCACAATGTCCGTGTGTGGCAAGAGGTTCCCAGTTTAACCCCCTGCACCCCTCAGGACCTGCTCTCGCCCAGCTAAGCATGCAGGGCCAGTTAAAAGCCACACCTGCACACTCTGTATGGGCCATTGACAACATGCACGTAGCCTTTATGCATGCATGTTTCCAGACTGATAAACACCTCTTCAAACTGGTACTCAGCCTCATTCTCTGTTATCCAAACATTTCATCAAAGGCCACTTACCTACAAAGCAGACACCTCTACCCAAGCCAGACAAGCCACATACCAAAAGCCTTTTGAAAACAAGGAACCAAACCTGAATTTATTCACTAATAGTGAAGGGGTGACAGCCGTTATTTTATACCTACAATATTTTGCAAATTCTGAAACTCTCATAAGGTGATTACACCATTAATTAGCAAAACACTGTCATCCCCGAGGTGCCAACACAGCAGCTGTTTCAGCTGAACAGCAAAGAAAAGCCAAGAGGCAAGGTAACAAAGCTGGGAGTGCTCCCATGAGCAGCCCAAGCGCTCCAAGCACCCCCACACTGCCGGCCCATGATAGGGAAGTGCTCCTGTTCCAACAAGGGGGGACTTCACCTCTGCCTCCACCACCCCAGCCTCCCAGAGGGCTGTACCCCCTCTTCCACCTGGGTGCATGAATGAGGACCCTGACAAAGAGCCACCTGTTGCAGCCTGAGCCCTGCATTTCTTAGGATATGGGTGTTCTCAAGAAGCTGGTCATACACAGCTGATCAACCAAGAAGGGATCTCTCTGGGCATTCATTCCTCTGACCCTCTGCAAAAGGGAGATCACAGAAATTACCTCAATGATCTACCCTTCCAACTGCAGCATGAAAAGGAAAAGAACCAAAATAAAATCCCAGGAAGATACCCTGTGATGCAGAGGCCATCACAGCTTTTTGATCCATTACTCTGTGAACAGGGCTTCATTTCTAGCTTAAGCATGTCTGGCTAAAACCGCCAAGTGCAGAGCCCTGCTCCTGAACTCTGAGTGGGCAGAGCAGCCCTCCATCACCAGCTTCAGTTCCTCACCTGCTCCTTCAGGCACCTCCAGACCATGGCTGCATCACCACAAACCTCTCTGAAGGGTCAGTGATCTGGCCCAGGTTGGTGCAGCTGATCATAAGAGACAAGATTAAGGACTATGGTGATCAGGGGGCAGGCTGGGACCCCTCTCCTAAGTAAGGGACATTTGGATGGCCGCCAGTGAGATCCTACACACACTTACTAATGTTGTCATTACAGTGCAAGAGTTCTATTGCCATTGCATTAGAAGGGTTCCATATCACTAGAGTTTTGTACCTCCTTGATGTTTCTTGAAGGCAGCTCCCCTAGGCACTAACTCTTCCTTGTCCTCACAACAGCCAGCTGACTCCAATTCCCCTCAACCACCCAATTCACTCTTTTATAACACTCTGCTGATTGGCTACAGGTGTGGCCTGTTAACATCAGGCCTGCTCCTAAGCCTTAATAATTGGCTCAGCCGCAACTCTTTAGTGGGTAAGATTACTTTCTATACTACCTTTATTTACTTATGTTCTATCCCCCTACAGACTAAGGATGCCACTTTGCACCACAGCAAGTTTTGCACCTCAGGTTGCAGATGAGTGGGCAGAGGGAGGATTATCCTCTTCACAGCACTCCCCCTTTCAGATGACAGCTCTGACCACAGGCTGTGGCTGTGATGTCCTTTGTCACATCAGGCAGGGCCCATGACCCCCTGGTGCTCCTCCTTCTCTGGAGGCCTGCAGAGGCACTGGAGGCACAGCAGTGCTGCCCTCCCAGAAAGGGATTCTTGGCATTGGGGCAGTTCCTGCAGAGCCCACCTCAGGCTGTCATGCTCTGCCTCCCACAGGCTCCCTGCAGTCAGGAGCAAAGGAGAGAGATCTCCTGAGTAGTACCTGTGGCAGCAGATCTAGCTTGGAGGAGGCTGTATCCTCTTATGAGGGTTGGGAGCTAAATTCTGCTGGACTAAAGACATTTTGATCTCATTTTTGATATTTTTCATCTCTCTCTGTCACCTCAATACCATTACCATCCTTCCATTTGCTTAGAAACATCCCTGGTGGGACAGAAACAGCTCTGGGTTTGGGGCACCCAGCCCCTGAGGGTCCCTGAGCAGCACAACAGCAATCTGCCCACCATTCTTCCCACAAGAAAATGGGCTGAGGGATCCTGTTCATCTTCAGAGCATATTACACAGCAGCAACGTCAAATCATCCATGGAAAGTCTGCCACCAGACATGGGGCTCTCTGGTTTATGCTGGGTTATGCAGATGCAGGTCAAGAAAAAGCCCAGAGTTTGTTTAAAGACATTCTGTCTTCCAGGTTTGGGAGAAGAAAATAGGGCTATCACTTACAGGAAGAGGTAAGGCCTTATATTGCTCTGAGAAGGAGCAGGATCCCACACACCTTTCAATCCTTCACAGGATTTGGCCATCACATTCTCAAAAGCAATGATAGGAAAAAGAAAAAGCAAGCTGTTAATAAAATATGGAGACAGCTTAGGAATTTGCTTGTGAAAGTCCATGATGAAAAACCTCCAGCTGAGATCTAATCTCTACTTTATAGTCCCCTGTGCTCTGCTTCATCTTTCCTTAAATGCATGGGGCACAGGGCTTCTGTCACTCCTTGAGCATGACTGCTTAGAGTCTGAGAGGTTTCACTGGTCTGAGGAAGCTTTTCCTTCACATCCAACTTAAAGGTGCCATTTCTTGAAGGCATGCCCTTGTCTTTTATACTCTAGCAAGCAGAACAAGTGTAAATTAAATGGAAGACACATGAAATCTTTATAAAGCCCAGTGTTTCCCCTAGCATGAAAGTTCTTTCATTTTAGAGTGGAAGGGGTCTTTACTCTGTGCTGTATTTTCCCCATCAGAAAATGAAGAAGAACATAAATTTTCCTCATGACTTGAATTTAGCTTAATCAGCAGCCCCCTGCTGATATAATTCAACCCAATGAGATTTTTCTCTTTTTTTTTTTTTTTTTCCTGGTGAGCTGCTGCCCCTTTTCCCCTCCTCCCACTAATTCAGGCATGGAAAACAAGGGAGGAATTAGACAGAAATTACTATCTATCAAGCTCTTCAGACTGGGCAGGAATAACATTTAAAATATAAAAAGCAAATTTTATAAAGTCTTTTCCTCCCCAGAGACTGCCACAAAAATATTCCTTGTTTGTCACTGAGAATGAACCATTTTTCTCTTTTATTTCTGCTTTCTGTCACATATTTCATTTTGGCTGCCCCTTCTGTCTTTCAGCTAAGGACATAGGCTGCTAACACAGAATCACAGGTAACGCAACAACAAAATGCCTGTATTATCTTTCTTTTTTTTATCCTAGTCTGTCAGGTAATTGCAACTCTAAAAGCTTTTGCATATTTACCACAGAAACATGTCTCTCCTGGAGGATGGGACTGTCATCAGGTAGAATATCTTATTTAATAAGCCTCTTGTAAGGTATAAACTGGGGCTGGGGATTTTTTCCTGGCCTCCTTCAGAGCAAAGGACAAGCAGATAAAGATCAGCTGCTGCAGTGCTACACTGTCAAAGTTCCTGTTCCTGTGAAAATTAACCCTCTCCAAGCTCAGAGCCCAGGTAGGCTTTGCCACTGTGAAATTAATGAAGTAGGAAAAGGGTCTGTTACCAACTCATGTTGCTTTTTCAACTCCAGTTCCCACCATGTATGAGACAGATTTCTTCTCTATTTACAAACAGATCAACTACCCTGCTTTTTTTTAACCTATCTGATGAGCCGTGGATGCTGCCAGGACTGATTCTCATTAAATCCATCATGAAGGAGGGGTGGATTTTCTCTCTTTGCCCCTGTTTCACAGAAGTACAACGACAAAAATGTGGTCTGAACATTTCTAAATTCAGCTGTTATCTAAAGGCAAATTCCCTTCACCCCCTTTTTTATTTCCCCCCACCCCTGAAGCAGCAGTAGACCTGCTTTTCTCAGTCCCTATGATGCTGAATCAAGCTGACTGCTACCAAAGAGAGGCCCTGAGAACATCTGCAAGAGAGACTTTGTGTCTTGGAGTCAAGACAGAGGGTGAGGATGCCCTGCCAGGGGCTATGAAATGAGGCTGCTCTGACGAAACTGTTCAACAGGCTGAAGAGGAATATACCTGGTTCACACATTTCACTTCAGGCACATCTGTCCTGAGGTCATAGCTCCATGCCAGCACGTAACAAAGCACTGTGAATGGGAATCAAGGGACAACAGGTCCTCACTCCAACACCAAATCACTGACAATACTTGCCTGGAGGAGAGCTAAGAGCCAGCCAGAAGACTCCCATTGACTCAGACCTGCATGAAAACTAATCCTTGACAAACCATCTTCTGTACCCATACAGTTTTCCTGTGGGCCAACCTTACACTTGTTAAGTCCCTGGTTTCATATATGAGTACTGACTGGACGACACATTTGAGATTGCTTGATTGACTGTTTAGGTTACAGCAGTTCTGAAACCAAGAGCCTACATCCATTGACCTGGAATGGAAATGTGGACATCCCCTCTCCTGGAAACAGTGCCAGAGAGAACAAACTGATTGATAGAAGTGAAAGACTTTCTAAACTGTAACTGGCAAACTCTATTTTTGCACCACTTAATGATTATTTACAAACTTACAATGGTTTTCAATGCATGTAAACTCCAAGAGGTTAGGACATAATTTTTTCTTACCATCAACAAGCTATTCTAAGAGCCATCTCTGTTTAGAATTAAGGGATGAATCTCACTCATTTAAATGAATGCAAGAAAATTCCCGAGGTAAAATACTTCTCCTAGTAGTGTTACATGAGCCCAATCTCTTACCTGTAGTATCTGGATTGAAGGTAAGTAGAACACACAGCCTTAGACACATGGCTAGCTGAACCAAAGTCTATGACCTTGACCCTATATGGCTGTCGGGATGGGTCTACCAGCATGATGTTCTCTGGTTTGAGATCAGCATGAATCAGTCCCAGGCTTTTCAGCTTCATTAGGGCAGTTGCTACCTGCTGGAGAATCGGTCGAATGTACTTAAGGGGCAAGGGACTGAATTTATTTTGTTTTAAGAAATCATAGAGGTTCTGCTCCAACATTTCAAATACCAAGCATGTGTGATTCTTGTGCTGGAAGCATTCGTAAGCACGGACAAAGTTGTAGTCATCCGCGCTTTCCGTGCTCAGCCGAGCCAGGATGCTCACTTCAATCTGGCCTTGCCGGGCATAGGAAGGGTGGTTTTTTAGGATCTTGATAGCCACAATCTCATTAGTGCCACGTTTCCAGCATTTGACTACTTGTCCGAAGGTTCCACGGCCAAGAAACTCTAACACTTCGTACGTGTTGGTCATGGAACAGAGCACCTCATGTTGCACCAGCTGGTAATCCCCTTCACTGTTGGAGCCACTGTTTTTGGAAGTGGCCGTGGAGGTGGTGGCGGTGGCTACAGTGGCCCCACTGGCATTGTTCTGAATCATTGGCGGATGCTCCTCGATAATCTGCACGCTGCTTGTGTTCTCAATCTCCTCGCTCTTGCGCTTAAGTCCACATTTTTGGTAGGTGTCCAGAAGGCTCACAGTGCTGCGACGCATCAGGTTGTGCGGCCCGCCCAGCGTTTGCCCAGACACCGCGACCACGCCGGAGGTGCTGTTGGCAGATGTAACCACGATGTGCCCCGTGCTTGCTGGGAAGATGATGGTCTGCTCGTAAGGGATGCTGGGGTTGGGGATCTGCAGGGAGGCGTTGACGGCTGCTGCGGCGGCTGCTTGGGAGGACTGCACGTTCTTGCCCTGGTTGTAGACTTTGCTGTGTGTGCCGTACCCAGTCATATCCCAGTTCGAACTCGGCTCCACTTTCAGTTTCTTCACACTACAGAAGGCACTTGACTGAAGGGTATGAGGAGAGAAAACTTGCACATGCGAGGCCATACCTGCAACACAACATCAGAGTGAAACCACTGTGTCAGGATGCTTTCCCCAGCTTTTTTCATTTGCCCAGTGGCAGGAAAGGGAAATGGGATACAGGCTTCAGATACATTATATGCACACACACAAAAAGCAAGTTCTTCCAGAAATATGTATTTGACACAAGTAAAATATTATGCTCTAAAATAAATCCTTACCCCAGATTGAACTATACCAACATAAAGATTTCTGCTCTCTTGCTCTCCCCCTTTTCATTTTTAATGACAGGAATGTGCATGTTATTTTTACCTTCTCTGCCTAAAGAGACTCCTATTCCCATTGTCTCCAGGAATATATGTAGCTCTCTGGAAGAACTCATGTCAAATACTGCAAAGTATTCTGACTACAGAAGCCAAATCTCAAATCCTCAGGCTCATCCAATCTTAAGCAGTTTGGTGGATCTGACTTAAGCCCTCCATTTGTGCCCATAAAACCACTGTGTACTTTCTGGCCTGCACAGAGTGAAGATGGGACCAGGAGATGATACACTGTGAGCAAATGGAGGTGCATAGATAAAGTTGAGGAGCCAGAACAGAAGAAGATGATCTTTCAGATTGCTTGCCAACTCTGTGAGTGGGAATTGTGCACAATGCTAGTCTGTGCTCAGGGACACTGGAGACGGGAGTTACACAACATGAGCTTCACTGTGTGCTGTCAGTGCTCCCAGATTCATAAAATTTTGTTCATCTATTCTTATTCATAGTGACAATACCATTACCGGGAAGCAGATCCCCTGGAAATGAACAGCATTGTTTATGAAGCAACATACACATTAGCATGTCGCAGAATTAGCTCCTAATATAGCTTTATTTCCACAGGAAAGACAAAAACCTATTTTAATGCAAGCTTATTTGGTTTCAGAAGAGTTAATGATCTTCTAATTCTTTTTAAAAAAAACCCAGACCACCAAAAAACAACCCCACAACCTCATAACCAAAGTGAAAATAATGCATCACTGAGATAGACTTACTGAAGAATTCTGAGTAATATTCCACTGAAACAGAAAAAGTGCCTATTCAGAGAAGAAAAAATGCGGTGCATGGGGAAGGGGACAGCTAAGTCCTGACTTGCTGCCAGCCTTCCCTCCCCAGGGTAGGGATAGTACTGCTGGGGCAAACATTTTGTGAAGAACACAAATCCATGGGGACTTCTGGGGAAGGAATCAGCACCCGGCAGGAGTTAGAGCAGAAAGGCACAGCCTCCTTCACCCTTCTATCTGTCATCAGTGTTTCTTTTTAATAAACCAGAATGACTAGAGAAGAAAAAGACAATATGCTGAGCTGGCACCATTGTTGAATTATTAAGCACAAACATAACCTTGACTTGTTTTCAACTTAAAAAAGTTAAAAGCTGAATGAATGCTTCAGTAACAAAGCCACAACAAACTCTGCAGTGCACATGGATGACTTCTTCATGTGGAGGCATGACAGTATCTGACTTGGTCTCCTCATACTTCACTAGTCCCTGTTCCTCTTCAGAAGATTTTCTGGAGCTCATGTGTACACAGACACACTCACACACATGCATGCATAAACTTACTCATATAGAAAAATATGAATGTCACTCCACACTCTCCACACTCACAAAGCTCGGTAGTCAAGTTAACAGATCTAAACACACCCAACTCTCTTTTTCCACTTAATTCCCAGCAGCCCAAAGGCCAGGAGGGGCTCAGGAGAGGGGTGCTGTGGCAAGCCAAAACCAACCATGAGTAACTACTCAGAAGTAACAGGCCAAGCAATCTCTCCACTTTGCTTCAGCACCCCTGCCTTCACCCTTTCAGCAGTGAAGAATTTCTGAGGACAGAGCAGATGCAGAAGAAAACCCCTTTAGGACACATGGGGAAACCCTCCCCTGGGCTTGAACACAGCACACAAAACCCCACTGATCCCAGTCTAGCAAGGAAGCCCTGCAAACCATAGCATGCTGCCCTCTCCAGATGTGACTCCTGTCTCTAAGTGTTTACTGTGGTGCCTTTTACCCCCTGCTCCCCCAACCTCCTGGGCAGCAATTTCCAAGGTTGCTGCAACTGGAGGCTCAGATACCCTTCAGCTCCTTGCCCTGCAGGAGAAGTACCTTCTCTGCTCTCTCCTTTCCACAGGGCAACGATGCTGTCACAAATGCCATGGCATGTGGTGGGTGGTGAGCTCAGAGAACCACAGCAGTGCTACTCAACTTGTCATCCTGGACACAAAGATCGTGTGTGAGTGAGCCAAAACCGTGTTTGTTTTTCCACTGATTAAGAAGAATCACGGTGTTCCTTCGAATACAGTAGTGACCTGCCTGGAGAGAGGGGGTGGTTTGATGTATGTTTTCTCCCTGGATGCAAATAATATGGCAGATGTAATTGGTAACATATTGTGGACCTAGCAGAGGTGTAATTTATAGTTATATGGCTTTCATTCCACGGCGTGCTTGAGCAATCTCTCTTCGTAGAAAATGAAAAGGGAAAAAATGACTGACGCAGAACAAGGAGAGACGTTCTTCCCGCACTCTCCTCTAAAGATAACACCAAAAGACTGAGGCATGGCAAATTAAAGTCAAGGATGTGAAGCACAGCAGCTGCAACTTTCTCAGTGCCACTGTAAAAATCAGGATAATCGCCACCATTAAGGGACAGGCTTTCAACTGGTGCAAACTGGCAGGGCTCCACTCGATATCAGCTGACGCTAAAAACAAGGTCAGCAGTCACTCAACATTGTCAATGTCAGATGGCTGCTGCCTGTGCCCTTTGGTGAAACGAGTTGTTGTTAGGGACTGGTTTCCACATCAACAGCCAGCCCCTTGCTGTCCCTGAAACACTGCTGGCAGCCTCAGCAGAGGACAGGAGCAGGGGATAAACACTGACTCACCCCAAAAATGGAGGGATGAAAGACACAGTGCTTCTGTGGATAAAGCAAGGAGTTTGGATTCCTCTGCTGCCAGTGCTGCCCTCCTCAGAGGCTACATCTCATCACAGAAAAAGCTTTTTCTTTTTCTCTAAAAAAAGAACTATGAAATCTTCTTCCTTACATCCAAAATTATTTTCTCATGTTTGAGGTTTTAAGGGCATGCATTGTAAGGAAAATAACTCAGTGAGTTCTTCAGCACAGTCCGATACCAAGAAATTACAGGCTGATTGACAGTTTGGTGATGGGAAAAGGCGGCTTCTGCAGAAAAGTAATTTTTATTGCAAATTTTCCTGTGCAGTTAATGCGAGAAAAACACAATCCTAAATTTCCTGAGGACACAATGAAACTGTGCTGGTGGCATGTTGTTTCTTTCAAAAAGGATTTTTGCTCCATAGCAATAGCAGGAATAGTAATAAATGTGAATAAAAGTTGGATGGTTTTGTTACAGGAATCAAATTCCTCATTACAGCCTGTAATATGATTTACACCTTCAGCCTTTTGATTACACAGGCTGACAACAGCTTGCCACAACATCCACGAGGGAACAAGCCAGCAGTATTGGGGTGATCCACACCAGTGGCACCAATGTCTCAGAGGCAGTGGGAATCACCCCCAGGGACTATTCTTGCTCCTGGGGTCCTGGAAAGACAGAGGGGCCATAAGCTGCGGAGGGATGGAAAATGGGATGTTTCACTTGGGAAAAGTTCTCTTAACCCCCATTCACAGGTCTGACAAGAAACCTCCTGCACAAGGCTGGGCCTCTCATATCACTTTCCTTATCTGCAGGAAGATCCTAGCAGTCACCTTGCTGCATTTTCCATGGAATGCCCAAGGCTGGCACCTGGCTCCTCTTCTTTTTGCACCCTGCCAGCAGTGGAGGGAGTGAGGATACTTGGCACGAGCAGCTTCACCCACTGAGCATTCCTGCCCACCTGAAGCCCAGCTCAGCAGCCTCACCTACACCATCAAAAGCTTTGGCTGGACTAAGCCAAGTGGCAATTCCAACTGAGCTGGTCCCTGCCCTGGCATGGGTGCCAGGGAGGCCTCTATTAGCCAGCCAGGATGAAGCCAGGATGCCACAACAGCTAAATACATGTCCTGAAGAGTGTAAGTCTAAGTTTTATGTCACCCCTGAGCACAGCGAATCTCTGGGCTGGGAGCAGAATCAGGGTTGGGCACCATGCATTAAATAAAATTGATAGTTCCTTTCTTTAATAATGAGTTTAGTGTAGTCATTTAAAGCTCTCACAAAACTGATAGTAACTGGATTTAATGGGGCCTTCCCTGTCCTTGATATGACTCACATAACTCCTCATAGCATCTACATGAGCTGAAGTAGGTAGGGTGCAGCCAGGGGACAGTGTTAAAACAGCTGGAATGACTTTTATTTAAAGACTTGAGGTTTTTTGTTCCTGAGAACTCCTCCCACGTCAGCTTTCACTTAATAATAATTTAGCAGGTGCTATTTACAATTCAGATGTCCCTCTTCTGCGTGCACACACAAATCACGCAGCCGCCCCACTTGTACTCCTAACAGGTTTCAGGAAAGCAAATGAGGTAAAGTTCCCTATCCACCCACGTCACCCCAAAGGGCAAAAAATACACTTTGGGGACTAAAGAAAGAACAGTTTGGAAGTCTCTGATTTTCTCTTCTGGTTTACTCCCAGCACTCACTGCTGATTTTTAAGTGTGGCCTTTGAGGCAGCAAGAGACCAAGCTGGTGCCCGGGATTGAGAAGGAAGTCAGACGTTCTGCAGTACCTGCAGAGCTGCCAGTGCTCTGTAACCAGAGGCTGCTTCCTGGCTGCTGCCAGAACGACAGAGCCTGCTTGAAAAATACTGTAGAGAGCACATGGTATGTGTTCAGCATATAAATGATGCTTGCAAGACAATACTGAAATAAGTATCTTCCACTTCTCCCCAGAGAGGCACAAGCCTGCAAACCCATATACACACCCAGGCTGAGAAGGCAGTGAAAAGGGGATCTGCAGGTGTGGCTAATGAATTGCACCTTCAAAACAGCCATGTCTCAAGCACAGCACCCTTCTGCACAGTGGCCTCTGTGTGGCTCCTTCT